ACTTAATTTTAAATATTTCTGTTTTGAGTTTCGTTTGACAATTACAAGATATTCCCGCATAAGTACGAGCATTTATTTTTATTCCGGTGTATATTTATATATATATATATATATATATGTATATATATTTGTTTGTTTTATATATGCTTGGTTAGCTAATTGATTGCTTAAAAATATTATTATTTTTCTAGTATTGAATTGCTTTGAAAATCCTAAATTAATTAACAGTAAAAATAATATTTTAATTAAGACATCAACTTATACTTGAGGTAATCAAAAACTAAATCAATTATAAATTATTTTCGTTCTTTATTGGAAAACGCTATAAACTAAGTACTAAACTTAAAACAAGCTTAAGTTTAGATTTATATTGCTTTTGTAATAGTTATTGTTTAATATAAAAAAATTTTAAATAAATTAATTTCAAGATGCTTTAGTAATTAATTTATTACGTTAAAATACGATAAGAGTTACTAATAGTTAATAAAAGCTAAATGTTAAGTGTTTAATATTAATTATTTATGTAAATATATTATAAAAAAGATAAATGTTAAAAATTTTTTACATTATCACTAGTTTGCTAAACTATTTTTGCTTTAAATATTATTTAAGTTACTTAATGTGCTTTTGCGATAAATTATTTGCATGGAAGAAGAGTGCAAAGAAGCACTACATAGACGTCTATAAGTGCTATTTTTGAACCGACTTTTCTCCCCTCAAATTCTTCAAGTTGCTGTGTTGCTATGGTAAATCTTTTTTACCACATTTTATTTAAGAAATAATATATTACATAATCTTTTAAAAAACTATAAAAATAATTACAAACGATAATATGAAAAACTTATTATAAGCTTTGATTAGCAGTGTTCAGTTATTAGTATTACTTGCTCAAATATTTGTTTAATTTTTTTTTGGCGACTTAAGGAAACATATTTTAAGTGTTGATATTGTTTTAAAAAAAATTAATTTTATTTACAATAAAATGCTTAGTTATAAAAAAATGTTTTTTTTAACAAAAATAAAATTAAACAAAAACTTAAAAATTGATATATATATAAATTGCTCGTTTAACTCGCTTCAAGGTGTGTGCTTACAAACTGTTATATATTTATACACTTAACATATAAATATAGTCAAATATTGCTTTTTACTTAAATACTTGTGCAATAACATTTAAATGTGTTAAAAAATTGTTAAATTTACTAAACAATTTTCAACTCACTGCCATGAGAGTATACTCGTTCCTTATTACATATAAAATATTAAAAATATTTTTTTTAAATTAAAATGATAAAGCTTAATATGATCATATTTAACTAAAAATGTTATACATATATTAAAAACATATTATATATAATATATTGTTTAAATTTGTTTTCTTATTATGTGCAGTGACAAGTTTTTAAAGTATTTATTTAAAAATTAATATTAAATTAATTAAAAATTAAAAGTATTTTTAATTTTAATAATTCAAAAATTGAAAAATTTAGGAGAAACATTCATTTCATTAATTTTCTTTAAAAATACTAAAAGAAGAGAGCAACGTGAATCTTTAACTTAAACATAAATTTATTTTATTTTTTCATAGTAAAAAATTAAAAAAAAAATATTAATAAAATTAATTTTAATAAATTAATTTAGTTTTTATTCATGCACTATATATTTACTGCTATTTCAATGCTAATTTAAAATTCTTTACTTCAGTTTTTGTTTAAATCAACTTAATAAATGAGTTCTTTCTTACTTTTTTCTTTACTTTACTTTGTTCTTTGCTCTCTTCTCTTGTTTCGATTTTTCATATTCTAGAATATGTAATTTTGTTCTTAATTATTAGCTTCATTATTACTTAGTGCTTGTAATTGTTTTTGTTGCTTTCGTCGTTTACGTTGTTCGAAGAATGCCTTTTGCATTTCTGGTGAGAGTCGTGCGATTCGTTCAGCATATTTACGTTTCTTTTCTTCTTCGGCTTTACGCACACACTCATCTTCTTCCCGTTTCAATTCATTCAAACGTTCTAGACGTTGTCGATTTTGTTCTTCTTCCTGACGTTTCTTTGACTCTTCTTCTGCTTTGGCAGCTTCATTTTCACGTCGTATTTCATCTTCGTGTTGTCGTTTACGCGCTTTTTCAGCTTCTTCCAATTCTTGTCGTAAGCGTTCCTCCTCGGCTTCGATTTGTTTTTGTTCAGCTTCTCGGCGTGCAATTTCCTCTTGCCGTTTTCGTTGTGCTTCTTCACGTTTGCGATTTTCTTCATATAAACGTTGTAATTCTTGTTGTTCAAAACGTTTCGTTTCTTCTAAACGTTGCAGTTCTGTACGTTTTTCTTCCTCTTCTAGTTCACGTTTAATTTGTTCTTGTCTAGCTTTTTCTTCCAATTCTGTACGACGTCTATTTTCTTCATCCTGTAAACGTTTTCTTTCTTCTTCCTCATGTTGACGTCGCTCTAATTCATTTTGTGCATCTTGTATACGTTTTTCATATTCTTCTTTTAAACGTTTTTCCTCTTCTAAGCGCTCTTCTTCATGTTTGCGTGCTTCTGCTGCACGTTGTTCTTCGATTTTACGTTTTGTTTCTTCGCGTTCTTGTAATTCTTTAGCAATTCTTTCACGTTCTTTTTGTTTTTGCTCATTGGCCAAACGTTGATCCTCTTCGTCCTGAACTCGTTGCTTCTCTTCTTCAGCATATAATTGTTTAAGTGCTTCAAGTTCTCTTTGGTGTTCCTCTATACGCGCTCTTTCTTCCTGTTCTTGTTGTTGCGAACGCTCACGTTGCTCCTTTTCTTGCTTTTGTAGACGTGCTCTTTCTTCATGTTCCTGTTCTTGCAAACGCTTGCGTTGTTCCTGCTCTTGTGCCTTTTCTTCTTGTTGTCGTAAATGTTCGCGTTGTTCCTGTTCTTTCTTTAACAATTGTGCTCTTTCTTCATTTTCCTGTTGTTGCAAACGTCTTCTCTCAAGTTCTTCTTCATGCTGCCTTAATTGACCAGGTACGTCAGATTGATGATTCATTTGCTCGTTGTTGTGTTGTTGGCGATGTTCCTCTCTTAAACGACGTTGTTCTTTAAGACGTTGTTGTTTTTCACGTCTCATCTTTTCCTGCCGCTCACGTTTTTTCTGCATGCGACGTTTTTCTTTCTCACGTTGTCTTTGTAATTTACGATCGTAATGAGTGCGTTGATGTTGTTGCCTACGCTGAGTTTGTGGTGACACGGTTACGAGTACCGGCGGTAAAATTTCATTGTAGACATTAAGCGGTGTTACTGGTGTAGTTGTCGTCATTCTAACTGCTACAGGTTGATAGTTTATATCATTTGGATGAAGAGTTGTTTGCTGGTGGTTAACGTCGTTTTGACTGGGTGAATTAGTGGAATGTGGTCGGGGTCTACGTCCACGTCCTCTTGTATTACCAGGACGACGGGCACGTATGCTGGGTATAACGATCTCCTCGTTACTACCCTCAGCCTTAACCCGGCGATTTATTCTGAAAATACAAGAAAAATTAAGAATTAGAGAAAGGCTTTTGTTTTTAAAACAAAAACTTATATTTGACATATACGCAAACTTAATTTATAATTTACTGTACACTGTCTAATTCAGAAATTTCTACATTATTATTAAGTACGAATTATACAAATATCTATACCGGCAGATGGAAGAATTGTCATAGGTGTAAGTTTTATATGTGTAATTACACTGCTTACAAATAATTAAAAGTTTTTTTCTTAAAGACGATACCTATATTTTCTATAGTGATATATCTATTAAATTTGAAAATCTTAATCGTAATCATACTAGTAATAATTTCTTAGTATTATAACAAATTTAAAAATGAAATATTACTCGAATTGGTCAAGCTTAAAGCATTTTACTGTTCAAATCTGTTCGTCTTTGATCCATCACATCATATTGTCAAGTGTCGATCATTTATTGTACTCGTATAAAATGAAGCGAAAATAATATGAAATAAAATAATTAAATAATATATATATCATTTATTCAAACATTTAGTATATAGTATGTATGCTAGTATGTCTATGTCTTTATAGTATATAGTCGAACTGGTTGAATATCGCACGAATATTATTCAAATTTCCAGAAACACTTCCTACAACTAAATGCTTGTTGTAGGCAGTAATGGTATCGACAACTATACCTAACTATATAATTAGGTTTCTTAGTACTTATTAAAGTTCATTTTAATAATCCTATTTTTTTCAGATTGAGTCCGTGAACTTGGCTTTAAATATACTGGATGAGTATAATCTGCGTGGTAATAAAATACGTGTTCAGCGTGCTGAATTTCAAATGCGCGGAGAATATAATCCAGCTTTAAAACCGAAAAAAAAGAAGAAAGATAAAGAAAAGCTATTAAAAATGAAGGAAAAGTAAGTTTGTATTTGTTTTGAATGAAAAATTTAATTTGTATACTATCTCAAAACTTTTTTTTTGATATTTAGACTTTTTGACTGGAGACCAGAGAAGTTACGAGGGGAGCGTACAAAGAATGAAAAAGTGGTTATTATTAAAAATCTTTTCGCGCCAAAAATTTTCGAAGAAGAAGTTCAACTAATTCTGGAGTACACAAATGATTTACGCGAAGAATGCAATAAATGTGGTACCGTGCGGAAAGTTATTATTTACGATGTAAGTATTAGGCTAAGGATAGCATAGATTTAAGATTTTATATAATACTAATTTTAAACTTAAAATAATTTATTTTAAACATATAAATAAATTTTTAATAATATCTGTTATTATAATACTAATTTCTTATAACAATATTACGCATTTTATTATTACAGCGTCATTCTGAGGGTGTAGCTCAGGTAAATATGTCCACACCGGAAGAAGCTGATTTGGTTATACAAATGATGAATGGACGATTTTTTGGAAAAAGGCAATTAAGTGCAGATTACTGGGATGGAAAAACTAAATACAAGTAAGTTAACATATTTCAACAAATTTTTTATAAATAATTTTTGTTTTTACAGAATTAATGAATCGGAGACAGAAGTTCAACAACGCCTCTCGAACTGGGATGAGTTTTTGGAAACGGATGAAGAAAAAAAATTATCTACATAATTTATTTTTAAAATATTTTTTGCTTTTGCATTTTTTATTATGTTATCAATTAATTACTTAAAAAGTAATATCGTAAATAATATAAAGATATTAAAATTATTTAATAAATTTTTTTTTTAACATTTTTGTTCTTAAGTTACTTGAAATTTGAAATTAAAAAAAAAAACCTTTAAGGAATAATCAAGATATACTAGTATCTTGAAGTAATTTAGTCGTAATTAATTTTTGAAAACTTTAAAATACGTGCTATCGAAATGTTCCCGTATTATACTCTAAATAAGTACAAAATTTATGAGATTCAAAGAGCTCAACTTATTAATATTTATAATAAATGCTTGGAACCTTCTTTTCAAACCGTATTCTTAATTATTTATTTATTTTATTCATACTTCTAGATTCGTGTATAAAAAATTTTCATATAAAATTTATATAACTACAATATTTTATTTGTATAATTTAAATTTAAATTTTTAAGTCTGATATAGTCTTAATCATAATTTACCTTGCACCATTGTTGTTTCCACGATCAATTACTTCCAAAATAACCTCATTTGCGTATTGTCTTGGATACGTTTGATTCCAGCTATTGTAGATCTTATAACGATTCTTCTCGCTGACCTTTGGCATTTTATGCTGACAAATGAAACGATGTTTTTCGGAGCATAGCCGGGCAGACCATCTATTTTGTAAAAATGCAAAAAAAAGAATATAATTAAATTTAATAAATAAATCAACTTATACAATACATTCTTGCTTTTAATAAAATTTAAAATATTTTATTTGATATTAGTAAATGATAATCGCATTTAGCTGGTTTGTTTAGTGTTATATATAACAACCCATTTAATATATAATAATTTTTGCTGTTGTTTTTTAAATTTACTGTATTAACATAATATATATAATTGTGTATTAAAAATATAATAAACTTAAAAAATGAACACAATCATGCTTACCAAATATATATTAGTTGTTAAAATAATATTAAAAAAAAAATAATTTTTAGTAAAGAAGTTATTTCATATCAAAAATATATACATATATATTAATATAGCGTATACTGAATTATGTTTTAGCCCATTAATTTGTTGATTACTTAGCACCGATGTATTTTAATTGGTAGTCATTGTCTATATAACTCTTGTTTCAATATGCCATTCTCCCTTAATAAGCGCCTCAAACTCAAAGCTGGTTTGATTTATATTTGAATCCTTGTATTGCATTTATTTATTAACATACCTGTATTTTAATTGTGGATCAAACACGGCACAATGGTTTTGTAAATTTCTTCTGCTCCTGCAAAAAGTGCTCATAAGTAAATCTTGAAATAATAATAGAAACTTAAAAACATATACTACTATGTTTTATACATTAATGTTTTATATTTAATTATTAATAAAAATATAACTTTATGGATTATTTACTTAAATGTTAAACTATTAACTTAATTAATTGAAGAAGTGATATCTATTTGGTGATCCTAGTTGCGGAGAACTATACAGGTCATATATATGAAATAGAACTATCATATGTATACATTTCACCGTTTAACAGTATGAGTCGCTTAACAATCACTAAACATGCGTGATTTTTAGCATCGCGTAACTGTGTGGAGGTGTGCTAAACCACTACTTTTTTTGAAAATAGTTAAGGTGAACCCAAAGGTGCCACATTTGTTTTAGAGTAAAATTGAAGGTATGGATGTGGAAGATGTTTGGTTTCAGCAGAATATTACAACGAGCCACGTAATACGTTTGTACTGCGAATAATTCGCCTAATGTGTAATATCAAGATTTAATGATCTAAATTGGATACTAAGATCATGTACTACATCACCATTGGATTTTTTTTTGTGGAGATACGTAAACGATCAAAATTATCTTATGCAGAGTGTTACAGAAACTGTAATAATTTTGTGCCTAAAAGACACAAATTTTGAAGTTTATTACTGAATAACATTGCTTTGCCTAGGTGACGAGGTACAAATAGCCTCGGATCTCATCACCAAATTTAAACCGATATATTGTTTTTTCTCTCACTCTCTTTTAATCATTCTCTCTCATTTAATTTTATGATTTGCATTTAAAACAACAAAAATTTTGTTAATGATGAGCCCGTGACATGGCCCTGTAAAATATAAATTTTATTCTAAGTTATAATAATGTGATTGCTCCCCTTAGGATTTTACTACACATATACCTACGATCTTAGAAGATCCTTATAGGAAAATGAGTAATAACAAATATAAATAATGTTCTAAATTATAATAATGTGATTGCTGCCCTTATGATTTTATTATCATATATACGAACTACTGAAACGAATACAGGGCTTAATAAATCATTTTATAATTTAACTTAATATAAATTAAATATTAATCAAATCACATATAAAATAATTTTCTCTCTAGTAAGACTACCATCAATTAAAGCCTTGAAATAAAAATTTTAAATATAGAAAGTGAATGTATATTACTCAGGGTCCATTTGACTGAAAGCGTCATACGTCAGGTTTTTGCCACTTATGCTCCATTGCCAAACTCCAGTAAGCCAATCGTATGTAGAGCCAAGCCAAATAGGATCGGGATACCCTCCATATGCTAATATAAAATATTAAAATTATCAATTATTAAAATTTGAAGTTAAAATTATTTATTTATTGAATATAAATACCATTTGACTGTCTGTCATGCTGTTGCAAAAACATATTCAGTTTGCGATCTGAATATTTGGTTGGTTCTGCTAACTTTGAGTTCTTGTCCTTGCAGAAGAAGTGTGCCTCCAACCAAATTCTTTGCTCTTCTGGCATATAATAGCATTCAGTACCGATGCGTTGAAATTTGGGTGGACAGAGTGCGTATATGCGACGATTGCGAGGTTTCTCCTCAACATTGTTTAGTGTGTTTTCAATGCCATTGCCATTATCTCCAACAAAGTTGACACCAGCCGAAGCGGCTGATCTGTGATATTCCGCAGTAAATGCGGTTGAAACTGAAAATAAATAATTAATTATGAACCAGTAATTAATTGGAGGCAAGTTAGTGTATGGCAGTTGATATTTGTAAAACAAGTCCATCGTTAAGATAGATAAGATAATCGAAAGAAATGAGTTTAAAATAAATTAAAAATTCAAATGTGCATTAATGGCTTACCTAAAGCTAAGATAATCAGCAAGAAATGCATCTTGCCCCAGTTGCAATGCGTTAAGGTGTTGAAATTTCACTTCAAAGCAAAGTATATCTTTTGCTATCGAATTTTGTATAATTTTAAATAAATTTATTTAATTATAAAATTAAAAAAAAATGTTTTGTTTGTTTGATAATTTGGTGAAGATAAATCGATTATGAATTCCGGTAGCGCGCGTTGATATTCAATTTACTCTTTCGGATTTGTTAAGTTAACATGGCTTAATGATTACAGCAACTGTAAGAGAAGAAGAAAAAATAATGTTAACTAAATAATAAATTATAATTAAAAAAAATATAATGAAAATATGCTAATTTAAGTATATTTGAATGAATTTCTAGTTAAACTCTACCTGTGGGCTTTTATTGATCGCTTTGAAAAACTACCCAAAATTGTAATTCTTTAGAAATATTCTCCGAATAACACCCACCGTTTTTTTTTCAGAACCTTTTGACGATAATTTGAAATTTATTTTGATGAGATTTTAAATAAAATTTAATTAAGTAATCTTTTTGGATTCTATTTATTAACAGATTTAGCTGGGATTGTATTCGTTCTAACTGGTTTGATTAGCAAATATTTTTAATTATTTCCCATTAACAATTTAGACGTTCTTGACGCGATTTCAGAGCGTTTTAACATGACTTGGGCTGCGGTAATTAATTTTGGCGCGGTTTCACTAATTTACGCACTGCAGACTCACAGCTGCGCATAATTTGAACTCAGCCAGAAAACAACTTTCAGTTCAGTTCTGCTTATGCGATGAAATATATTTTGAAAAATAGTCAATTTTTGAAAAATAAAAAGTATTTTTAATTAACCAATTAAACATGTTTAATGCGTTGACTGTCGGACTGTCAGTGGGTTTCAAGCAAAGCCTGAGGACATCAATCATTCGTTATTGGAGTATAGACATGGGTGTGGCTTTCAAACGAAACATTCTTTGATTTTTACGATTTAGAAAAATTTATGCAAAAATCTCCACATTCGGTCAATATTAATAAAAAAGATATAAGTTTGAGGCATGAGATATTTATCACAGCAAAAACAAAGCAGACCGTGGGCGTCAAATTTATAGAGAAATAATAAAAATAAACATTTTTTGCACTCATAACCATTTTATAAGAACAACTACTCTTATATCTATATATATATAATCGTTTCTTCGGCTGTTCGTTACTCAATCACTTTTTAATGACTTAACTAATCTTCGTGATACTCTCAGATCATATTTATAGTATAGTTTTTAAGCTTGAATTTTTGTCCTTGGGATTATATCCAAACTCATGTATGTCACAGGACATTAATTTAGAAATTAAAGGATATTGTTGGGACAAGTTTTAGATTAAATGTTTACTTGAGACAAGCTTGTGTCTTAGTTTATATTGAAAATACACCCATCGCATATGATTTCTTTTCATACACTGGTCCAAAGAAATCTTCCAGCGTTTATAGTGAATATAAACGCTATAAGTCCTATATAACTATAAAGTCCCACATAAATTTATCTATACAGATAAAAAAAGTTTTATAAAAACTGAAAAAAAAGAAACATCCTACGTTGCACAGCTGCACTTTAGGAAGGCTAAGCGACATCAGTGGGATATTCTTTAGAGTTTATTATA